TCCCCGTCAATTTTAGCTATATAGCAAAATATTTTGGATGCAGGTCTATGTTCTTGAATAACCTTAATATAAGGAAGATATTTTCGATATTTGTATAAAAAGACCTTCGATGCATTAAACAAGATCATAAAAAATCTACTTGCAGACTTACTTAAAAAACCAGTAAGGAAATTAGTAAATTCGGACGGGCCCGACTATATGATACCCTTCATCACTATGGGTATATTAAACAGGACTATTAACATGAAAATGAAAGAAATAAAATATGTGATATTTATCTAAGTGTGAATCAACTTAGATCAATCGACATCAAACAAATATCAATAAGTCATCCGTTGGGCTATGTCTGTACTTCTAGAAAACGCAACTACGTAATTCTATGCTTAATTTTGTACGTTGTGCAAAATTTGATGTCAATCTGACTAACATGAAAAGTTTGATGTCCAATTTACTTAAAATCGGGCGAAAATATATCGACGCCTCCGAACCATAGTATGCTAAGTCTGAAAAGTGAGTTTTTCAGTAGAAGCTTTCAAAGTATGGAAGTTTCTTTAATCGTACGTACCATGCTAAGTACATTTTTGCTTATAACTTTGGTTTGAATTGGCCGATGATTACCAAAATGTCAGAGAATTTAAATTAAGGACCGTAGTATCTAAAAACGTGAAGAACTTTAAAACATGCTAAGTCGACTTAGCATACTATGGTTCGGAGGCGTCGATATATTGAAGTTATATCCAAATAAGAACCGATTTTAACGAAACTTGTCACAGGTTAGGTTGTACTAATTTCAGTACGTTTTGTTCCTATCAGCCATATATTGGATCCTTGGTGCGTCAATTACTTAAAATCAATCTATAATATAAGGAAGCTATATCTAAATCTGTACCGATTTTCTCGAAACTTGGCAGACATCACTCTAAGCTCAATTCAGTACGTTATACCAAATTTCGTGCTAACGAAGGATATATAGGGACTTTGGAGCACAATTTACAAGAAATCGGACGAAACTATATATTGGTGCTATATCTAAATCCGGACCGATTTTCAAGAAGCAGACATCATTCTATCTGGACCGATTTTCACGAAACTTGAATTCAATACGTTATGCCAAATTTCGTGCAAATCGACAGATATATAGGGTCTTTAGTGCACCATTTACCTAAAATCAGACGAAACTATATATAAATCTGGACCGATTTTCTCGAAACTTAGCAGACATCACTCTAGGTACGTTATGCCGAATGTCGTGCAAATCGAACGATATTTAAGAAAATATATATGGGAGCTATATCTAAATCTGAACCAATTTTTCGCAATTTCAATAGGGTTCGTCCTTGGGCCAAATGAATGACCTGTGCCAAATTTCATCCAATTCGAATAATAAATGCGACCTGTACTTTGTTTACAATTTAACATAGACAGACGGGCGGACGGACATGCGTAAATCGACATAGAAAGTGATTCTATGCATATTCTCAAAAGGAACCATGGGTTTATCTCAATTCCTTTTGCCTGTTACAAACATATGCACAAAGACATAATACCCTGTACCACAGTGTGGTGAAGGGTATAATTAAATGTACTCCACGTGGGGGAAGCACAATTCTTTAGGATTGTTCTACATTGATTATGAGGGCCCTACTATTTTTCAATTCAAAAATTGGTGTATAAGCATTATTTTGGGATCGTAGAGTAAGATATAGAAACTGATAGACAGATAGTAGGAATACGTTACACCCGATTGAAATTTCCGATTTTTATTATTCAAATGCGCCCATGATCCATCTATTTCTGCGCTCAATGTCAAATAAAAGGATTTCAAAGCACGTCGGTCTTATGCGTCGCTCATCCAATATGAAAGACCTACGTGAACCGTCAGCTGATTCGCTTTTATATCCCTTTTTATCTAGGGCATCATCATCCATTCCCACAACATGACCAATCCAAAGTAGTCGCTGCAGCTCGATACATCTGATTATGTCAATGTCCGAGAATAGTTGGTACACCTCATGGCTTATTCGACGGCGATATTCACGACATTTTTCTCTTAAACGCTCCAAGATCTGCCTCATATGGTTGCGCAGTACCGGTGCTTCAGATCTATACAACAACACGGGTAGTATCAGCGTCTTGTAGAGTGTGAATTTGGTCTGGCGGTAGGTGGCCTTGTTCTTGAATTGTTTACTAAGACCATAGTAGCATCTGTTGACCAACACTACTCTTCTCCGGATTTCAAAGGTCATGTTATTAGCAGTACCTCGAAGCAGTAGTTTTCAAGTTCGACAGTTAGTTCGAGTCTACTGGACATCTTGCGCCTTGACATAATCAAATTTGTCTTCTCGCCAAACTGGCAGACTTCTCCCACTTTGGCAGACTGCTTCTCAATTCGTTCAAAGGTGGCTGTTACCGCTCCCAATGTTCTACCCATTATGTCGATGTCGTCGGCGTAGGCGAGTAACATGTGTTATTTGGTGTACAGTCATTCGTCATTCGGTTTGTAGTTGATGAATAGGTTAAATGTCTGAAACCTCATTTGTATGGTCCAATAATGTCATTGACCCTTGGCTTGCGATGGACACATATCGTCTTGTCTCCTTTTTTGTGCACGGGACACAGGATGGTGAGATTCCAATCATTGGGCATGCCAAATTGTACTAATCAGTTGGTGCATGCTCCTGATCAGCGTCTGACCTCCGGTCTTGAATAGTTCGGCTGGTAATCCATCGGCACCTGCTGCTTTATTATTCTTCAGCCGATTAATTGATATTCTGACCCATATTTGCTAGGTGGTATACGCGCTATTCTTCATCTCTGATTAGTCTGGGGTATCTTCTTCACCGCCACTATTATATACCAGAAGCTTTGTAAAATCCTCTTTCCAGATTCTCAACACGCTGTCTGTATCTGCCACCAGGTTTCCTTCTTCATCTCTATAAGAGGATGTGCGTTAGTTCTCACTCCTATACACCTCGATTTGCTCCCGCTCATATTTTTCTTTTTTTCTGAAAATACGTTTCTCCTCTCTCTTTTTCCCTATAATTTCCCCTCGCATTACGTGTTGCTACTGTCTGCAGGGTTGCCCTATGCGCTGCGTTTTTCACATCAGTAGCATTACGATACTCCTGATCGTACCACGGGATTCTTAATGGTGGTCATTTGTACCCAAGTGTTGCTTTTGCTGTAGTTTGTAGGGATTTGGGCAATTCTTTGCTATTGTGCTTCTATACTATTATCGGGACAAGGAGTGCTTTCGTCAAGCAAGTGAGCACATGTGCTGCTACATTAAGACGAATGCGAACCTTGGCTGCAACAAGGTAATAGTCTGAATCGATATTCACTCCTCGGATCGATTGAACGTTATTTGATCAGGAGAAATCCAGGTGGCCTTGTGTATATTTTTTGGTACCGCGAAGTCAATCAATCTCATGTCGTTGTCGGATGTTTTTTCATAGAGGCTGAATTTTCCAACGGTGGGGCCAAAAATATTTTTGCTTCCGAATTTACATTAAAACTCCTAGCAAAATGTCATTATCATGGCCTGGGCAGCTGTCATATGCTGTTTCTTCTTAATCTTTGTCTTCCGTCGGAGCATGGCCATAAATAGAACTGATGTAGAAACTTTGTTTTATACGGTTTATAGCAATTCGCTCATCTCCTGAATGAATTTTGAGACGATATCTTTTATTTTCCTCTTAACCATAAATCCGCAGCCAAATTCATTTATTCTTTCATGACAGCTATATACAGTGCGTAATCGTCGGATTTATTTACGCCTGTACCTTTGCATTGCATTTCCTGTAAGGTAATAATGTCGGATAGGTACTGAGTACATCCGCCAAAGCGAAAGCTGCTCCTGTTTTGTATAACACTTTCTTGCTTTTTAATCAACAACGTTTTGGCAACTCTGATAGTCTCCAAAGCCCTAGTTGGTGTTGGCCGCCTTGCTCTACATGCATATATCTGGGCAGCACGTTTTCTGGACTTTCTGTATTGATTTCACATTTCCTTCTTTGTCGATTGTCCACAGATTAATATTATATAATTGGTCTAATAAAGCTCTCACATCATCTTTGGATTGAAAACTCAAACTTATGGTCAATGTTCACTAAAAATAAAGCCTAGTTGGTCCTGTGTGGGCTAAACTTGGCAGAACTTAATATTTATACTAACCACAGATTTAGTGCAATAATCGTATATATAAGTCCATCATCTCTGGCATTGTCACCATTTAAAAAAAAATAAGTTTAATAAATAAATTGCTCTGCACCAGCCAATATCCCTCCATAGGCAGAGAGTGTATATCTATCAACAATATCTAAAATGGTCAGGAGTGCAAAGGGATTCGGGGTAGCCCCCATATCACGGCACCAACTATTTTTCCATATTTTGGTCACGTTTTTCAACCAAATTTGGTTTTAAATTTTTCTACCAAAAATTATAAATTATCGGTCGATCTTTGGGTATTACCCCCATATAGGTCCAGCCCCTTTATAAATAGTCTGATTTCACTACATGAATTTCCAACCAAAGTGACTATATTTTAGCACTACACAGAAAATAGTCAATGTAAATCCATGTTTTACATAGCCCCCATACAAAGGTCAATGGTTATTTATTTTCATTTCTGCATATTCAATGCCCTTTCCCTATTTTCGAGCCTGAATGTCTGTATTTTGGATTTCTTCTGGCTTACCCTCCATATAAAGGTCCTGGCCGTAATTTAAACGTCCACTCCATGGTGGAGGGTATAAAAATAACAAAGCTACTTTTTATCTATTTTATATTCATAATATGTCCTTGCAAATCAAACCACTTCAAAATAACGAATTTTCTCAAACTTTGTTCATTAATTCCTTTTCTTTAAATATATTAGCATTGTTCAAAAACCTTTGTTTTTATTTATTCTTTTTTTTAATTAAACAAATAAAATCTAATAATACGAATATTCCAAACACACACACAAAAAACACATTAAATTCCTCATACAACTATAAATGTTAATTTTCCTCATCCCCATCTGCATCATCGCCATCATCATCATCATTGGCTCCTTGAGCTGACTGTTGCTTCTGACGAGATTCCTGTCCATCACCGTCACTCATTGTGGCCGTCATTGTTGTCGTGTTTTCTGCATCATCTTCCACGTCTTCCTTTTCAACAAGTTGTACATCGTTGCCATCGTCACACACCCGCAAATCTGTACGCTCCAATAGGGGACGTGGCGTAATCGGCAGGAAGGTGTTGCAAATCGTCCTGATCAGTTCACATTCATTCGAGCGATGATAAATGGCAAACACACAATGCTGAATAATGTCATACACGGTATTGTCAATGTATTTGAAATGAATGTTGATTTCTTCCTCATCATCGCCGTGTGTCAGACGCAAGCCGTAAATGCTACACAACGTGAAGGAAAATAAGGGGAAAAAAAAACAAAAAACAGAGGAACAAAATAAATATTTATTGTAAATATGTTGGCTCGGTAGGTAAAAGCATGCATGTGGGATATTCATGGGTGTAGGGGTGTGTGTGTTCATTTGAATGCCATAATTATAACTTTGTTTGAATGAAAAACAACACGACAACAGAATTCCGTGATGTTGACAAACGTAAATATTGTTTTCATCGAAAAATGGGGATATGTGTGACAAGGGGATATGATGCTACGTACGATATGGGTTCTCCGACAATTTTCATTTCCACCATTTCATATTTACTACGAACATAATCCAGGGTTTCATTTGCCTCCTCCGATGTTAGCTGAAAAGAAAAGGATATGTTATAGAAAATCATTTGGAACAATTGGGTAAATCAATTTTGAAATATGTCCTTCGGTTCTTTCGGGAAATATTTACTACAATAAGGTCTTTGTAAAGTTTAATAGGCACTTGCAAACACTTTTCTTAAGTTTTTTTTTCTGATCATCAGTGGACAACTGTCATAGGAACTCACAAAAACGCCAAAAGCCAACGTCGTAAAAAGTCGTAAAATTCAATCAATATTGATACTTTTTTATAGGTAGATATGTCACCCAAAATATTGAATAATGGAGAATGCCGTTATAGGGGGCATTCCTAAAAAGTAAAGAAAAGTAAAAGCGATATTTGCACCCTCTTGCCCGTATATAGATCAACAGCTTCACTTTCTAACCCTGGTATTTTTACGCCACAAAATAAAAATTTTGTCACTTTAGATTTTGGTTGATTTGATCCTCGGAATATTGACCGATCATCATCTAAACGGCCGTTCTAAGTATTTGGTCCGAACCCCTTCACCGTGTAAAATATGTGATGCATATAATAATGGCCTCTAGAGCGACTATAACACCTGACAAAAATAAAGTTTTCGGTTCATTGCACCCCCTTAATTTCATTTCAACACCACCGAAAATTATAGGTGTCGTCCTTGACCATAAACGGAACTTCATGTACGATTACAAAGCAATCAGCGCGACATTTCCGCCCTCTAGTTTGGTAATAGTAATACTAAACACTATCATAACACATATACACCTTTAAATATTTACGTATAAATCCCACACCGAGTACATACAAAAATAGAATTGGTATCAATTTAGAATTCTTGTGCAACGTTTTCAAACCACGATAATTTTTCCTAAAATGATAATTTTCTGCCTAAGCGTACGTCAGCATACAAAACCACAATATGCCAAATTACAGTTCGATTGGAAAATACTGCTACATACAAACTTCAAAAAAATTGGGCGAGACTGCCAAATGGGATCTATGTCAAAAGATGAGCATTCAATGGTAATTTTATACCTATATTCTCTAGCCTCCAAACCCCAGAAATACTAAATTATAAACCTTTCGATTGGAAATGCGACTAAAATCCCTCAAAATACTGGGTGGTGCCTTCATATGGTGGCAATGTCAAAATATGGACCAATTTAGAAATTTTTTTGCATAGATGAATATCAGCCTGTGGAAGTTATAACAAAACGGTATTTGCAATACCAAACACCCTATGAGCAAAGCTCTATCATGAGGTCCATTTCCATTTCACAGTTTTTGTCATGAAGATTTTCATTGAGATGAAAAAAGGTAACATTCTGCATCTACAGTATGTATATTCAAGCCGTTAAAGATAGAATGGGTGGGACTATCGAGGACTTATCGCTCATTTGCTACAAGACCGTCATACATGGAAAAACTAGATCTTGCAGTAAATGCGTTTTACGTTTTCAAATGACTCAACCCTTACAAGGAATAGAGAATCTTCTACAGCTTCTCAATCAGGGTCTGCGATTTTTACAGGACATGAAGTCTGATACAGCGAACACTTCTACATTATTAACCTAAAAATCACGATATTTGATTTATGCCGATCTTATAACACATGAGGGATATGGCAGCGACCCTGATTAGATTTTCCAAAGTTCTGTGCGTTTCTGATGAAGTTCTTCTCATCATAATGGTAGTATTCCTGATTGACCATATGGCTTTTGTTGTAACGATTCATGATGCACCACGCCAGTACAGTAGAAGAAAACATTCATTCAAACCTTTTAGTTACATTTCCGAAGTATAATAACTTCATGGGTTTCCATGCAAACCCATTAGGTTTTTGATATGAGTTACCATAGTCAATATGGAAATTACACATACTTTACTGAATTCAACTTTTTCTTCTCAAAGAAAAGAATTAAACATTTGTTTATTAGGATGAGTATGGAATAGTCAAAAATATGTAAAAACCAGTAAGAAAAGCAGTAAAGTCGGACGGGCCGACTATATGATACCCTTCACCACTATGGATATATTAAACAGGACTATTAACATGAAATTGGATGAAATAAAATATGTGATATTTATCTAAATGTGAAACGACCTAAATCTATCCATAAACATGTCATTCGTTCGTTACAATGGGACAAAAGTATGTAAATCGACTTCAAACAAATATAAATCCATAGGTCAATGTCTGTACTTCTAGAAAACTCAACTACGTAATTCTATGCTCAATTTAGTACGTTGTGCAAAATTTTATGTCAATCTGACTAACATGAGGAGTTTGATGCCCAACTTACTTAAAATCGGGCGAAAATATATATGAAAGCTATATCCAAATATGAAGCGATTTTAACGAAACTTGTCACAGGTTAGGTTATACTAATTTCAGTACGTTTTGTTTTGGTGCGTAAATAACTAAAAATCTATCTATAATAAAAGGGAGCTATAACTAAATCTCAACCGATTTTCACGAAACTTGGCACACATCATTCTGGACTAAATTTATATTAAATCGGACGAAAATATATATGGGAGCTATCTCTAAACCTTGGCCGATTTTCACGAAACTTGACCGACATCACTATATGCTCAATTCAGTACGTTATGTCAAATTTCGTGCAAATCGAAGGATATATCGGGACTTTGGTGCACCATTTACATGAAATCGGACGAAACTATATATGGGAACTATATCTAAGTCTGGACCGATTTTCTCGAAACTTGGCAGACATCACTCAAGGCTCAGTTCAGTACGTTATGACACATTTCGAGCAAATCGAAAGATATATAGGGACTTTGGTGCACCATTAACATAAAATCGGACGAAACTATATATGGGAGCTACATCTAAGTCTGGGCCGATTTTCTCGAAACTTGGCAGACATCACTCTAGGCTCAGTTCAGTACGTTATGACACATTTCGTGCAAATCGAAATATATATAGGTACTTTGGAGCACCATTAACATAAAATCAGACGAAACTATAAATGGGAGCTATATTTAAAGCTGGCCCGATTTTCACGAAACTTGGCAGACATCACTCTAGTCTCAATTCAGTACGTTATGCCAAATTTCGTGCAAATCAAAAGATATATAGGGACTTTGGTGCTCAATTTACTTTAAATCGCGCGAAAATATATATGGGAGCTATATCTAAATCTGAACCGATTTTTCCCAATTTCAATAGGGTTCGTCCTTGGGCCAAACAAATGAGCTGTGCCAAATTTCATCCAAATCGGATCATAAATGCGACCTGTACATTGTTTACAATTTAACACCAACAGACGGACGGACATGCATAAATCGACTCAGAAAGGGATTCTATGCATATTCTCAAAAGGAACTATGGGTCTATCTCGTTTCTTTTTGTCTGTTACAAACATATGCACAAAGACATAATACCCTTTCCACAGTGTGGTGAAGGGTATAAATATTTTGATCCATTTTTAAAATAGTAAAACGTTGAAGAATTAATCTTTTTATATGACAAAAGCAAACTGACAACCCTATATTGGGCTACAAATGAAATTTCATTATAGTTTGTTTATACACTTATGTTATCTATATATTTTAAGAATGGTATACTTGAACACCATCACAATAAAATGTAGTTGTAGTTCCATTCGCCAGCCATTCTCTTGACCAAATACTTAGTTCACAATTAGTTGTTAGTCCATAGTCATTTACAATATCTGCGATAATGGTGTACAATGTTACAGAGAATTTTTCTTCAGTCGCTGAATGGATTTTATCAATCCTAAAAGTAAAATTAATAAAAAAAAACTAATAAAATAAAAATCTAACACTAAATTATGTTTAACATATACTCACTTATAATCTGTATCACTATTAATAGCTGTCATCCATTCTACCCACGATGCTAAAGCTTCATCAGCATACTTCAGGTCTTCACCTTTCAATTGGCGAACATTATCGGCGGGTTGTATTATCTAATAATCATAATAATATCTTTACATTATATAATTCACCAGCTTTTTAATTAATCTTACCCAGTCGGGACGTACATTGATAGCAACAAATGTTATGGTAACTATTGTAATTATAAATAGTTTATTCATATTGTGCTATTGGAACTGCCAATGAAGATTCAATGTTTACTTCTTTAAATTCAATAAGAAATGAAAATCACAATAAATTGTGATTTATATTTATATTCAGAAGAATACATACAATCTAGAATCAATATATAGATTTATATTCTCATGCAGTGAGTTGTATGAAGACTTACGAAGTGTTATGCAGATAACCAAGAAGACTTAATATGTATGTAGAAAAACATAAATAATATTAATGCAGTGAGCGGACCAGTATAGTCGGACGGGGCCGACCATACGATATCCTACACAACTCCCACGGAACTCTTAAAGAACCATTGACATGAAATTGAACTAAATCAAATATGTGATCTGTATCTATATGTGAACCGACATAAATCAATCCATACACATGTCCTCGGCAATCTATGCCAAATTCCCTTTCATTAGGGCAGATTTAGTCAAAATTATGTACATCGATTTAAATCAAAATATTTATTATGCTGCAACGCATTGTGCAAAATTTAATCTCAATTGGACACTAGGTAATTATTTGATGTACAATTAACATGAAGGCAATCGAAAATACATACGGGAGCGATATTTTCATCTGTACCAATTTTTTTTTTTTAACGCAATTTTTATGCTCAAGATAATAACTTGTGCACCATTTACATAAAATTGGCCGAATGAACATTGTGAAAAAGTTGTGCAAATCAGACAAACTTAGATAAAATCGGAGAAAAATATATATTGTAGCTATATCTAATTTGATTTGATATTTCGAACTGATTTCATGCAAACTTACAAACCATGTTGAGACCCATTGGGCCAAAATATATGTGGGAGCTATATCTATGTTTGAACCGATTTCAATAAAACTTGCAACGTTGTGCAACATTTTGTGTCAATTCGCACAAAATTTGAGGCTATACTGACTTCAGTCCGTACATATATGGAGCTATATCAAAATCTGAATCGATTT